AAATTTGTTATGTTGTATGCGTGCGTGGGTGAAATTATTATGTTGTATATGTGGGTTATGAATATTCAGTGGAAATAATAATAATTAAATGAAATTTGGCCAAATGTGTAATTATCCGGAAATATGTTAATTTATGTAATTACGCACATTTTAATTATGCCAATTCGAGAGGTAATCGTATTAATTATGCGAGTGGGTGTAATTATGATAATGCAAGTCGTTATGATAACCAGACCCCGGTTCACCCCGTTATCGCTTTAACATTTACTGAGTATGTATTAGTGTGTTTATTAAGGTCACCAAGTTCAAATCTCAACGCAGAAGCAGATCTTATGCATAGATTTCAGGAAAGAATCACACAACCACTTCTGTATTGATCAATTTATTACTAATTCAACCTTAACTATGATATAGTATGCGAACTCTCAATCCCGGAACGTCAATACGGCATCAATACAGTATCATCAACGATTGTCTGATTTCACTTTGACAACGGCACATGGATCCCGCATAACGCGATGGTTGTTAGTGAGAGAGAGAGTCGTTAAAACATGCAAATACTATGCTAAGAAAACCTTAACGTTAATGAATGATTATACTCAATATTGTTCACGCAGTACCGCACTCCTTATTGATCATACGCAACCCTTATCACGTTGTTAACACCTTGGGTCACGGAACAGTTGAATATTCTGTAGAGGATGCGAGTACGTGCGGCGATTATGACTGAAAGATACTTGAAAGATTATACGGCGATAAAAAAAAAAATACAATCAAAAACAGTTATTATTCTTAAAGGCACCAATCTCAACAGATACATCGGCAGGTTATCTGACAACAGAACGGCTCGGAGTAAGGGCCTGCGACGGTGCTCCTTTTCCGAAGCTCGTTATCTTATACCAAGTTTACTAATTGGGGACCAGATCACCTGATAAGGGTCCGGTGGGCCACCACTCCCCACGTGAGCGTGGCTCGGCGGAAGGAGGTGCCAAGAATTAGTTCGTATTGATGGATCTGTTGGGAATTTATGCGATTAAGAGTACAGCCCACTAAATATTAAAGATAAAAATTAAGAATACTCTTATAAGAGACGGAGGGCCATCACTCGGTCTCGTTGTGATGCTTTCCAGCCACGGATGGCTTATGGGTTCGAGTGTTTTTGAGTGGTAAGAGTTGTCTTGAATAGTCAGTGTTCGGAGTCGATTCTTTAGGTCAAACAGACGCCTGGTGGTCGTGTGGTGAGGGGGCGGTGCGCGTCATACGTATCAGTCGATCCCCTGTCACCGTGGCGAATTGGTTCGGATGGCTGTTGATACGCTGTCGCAGTTCGGAACCCGGTCGGTAGGTGGCGCCCACAACTCGCTCGTAGCGTGCAGCGCTGGATCGTCGCCAAACCGCAACGATCACCACTCCGGCGGCAGCAGAGACCTCCGGCGGCAGCAGAGATTGACGAGCTGAAGATGAGTCGAGCCGACCCGCTGGTCGCAGCTCGCTCCTGAGTCGACCCTCCCGGTCGAGCTCGCTCCTGGGTCGACCCGCTGGTCGCCCTCGCTCCTGAGTCGACTCTCTGGTCGCACTCCTGAGTGGACCCGCTGGTCGCACTCCTGAGTGGACCCACTGGTCGCACTTCTCCTGAGCCGACTCTCCCGGTCGCGCTCCTGAGTGGACCCTCTCGTCGCACTCCTCCTGAGCCGACTCTCCCGGTCGCGCTCCTGAGTGGACCCTCTCGTCGCACTGGTTTCCAATGCTCAGGATCCTTTACTTTATGCCGAAAATTCCCCCTGGATCCCGCCCACAAGGCGGGGCTTCTTCCGATTTTTGCTGTGTCAGGATCTGTCCGTAGGCAGGTGTGTCCATGTGTCTGTCCGTATGTCCGTGTGTCCTTGTGTGCATCACTGACGGTATATTCGTTGTCACACTCCCTCCATAAAACCCACGAGCAAACAATCAGATGTTACAAATTGCCTCGAAGTCGTCTCTCTGTCTGGGTGCAATATTATCTCTTGTCTGGCCTTCTTCATGACCCAAAACACAGACGTTACAAATCGTCTCATAGGCGTCTTTGTTCGTGTTGCACAACCTGGAGGGAGGGGCAACACTCTCTCCGACCCGGCGCACAAAGAAATGGTTAAAAGTTTTAAGTTAACATTTGTCCCTTACTATTTCACAGTTATGATTCTGTATGTAACCTAAGGTCTGTCGTTTCCCATCGTGGTGCTTGACTCAAGTGTAGGTGTTTCCCCGAGCGTATACACACTCCTATCCCGCGCTGCGGGGATACAAAGACGGCCGGGATCTCCCTTTCTCTCTGACCCTGGGTTTAACATCGTTTTTTTTATTATGTATTATATTCGACCTGGTTGTGATTCATCCCGTTATCCTGGCTTTTCCATAAGTTTTACTTTGTCTTTTCATGCATATACTTATTACTATTAATTTATTTCCGATATCTTAGGTTAAGGGGTAAGTTTCTTGATCCTAGGAATTCGTATTCCTTGGTGCCTGGATGGTTATATAAGCGGAATATAGTTTACGGTGAATAGCGTTAACATTGATGTTATGTGCGATATTATGTATTGTGATGTCTTTAACTTAACTTGTTTGTCAGGGCTTTACTGACACGAAGTTGCATTCCATAGCCCCGCAGTCTTTGCCCCACCCTATCTCTGCTCGCCGTGGTTGTTGCAGTCCAGCTGACGTCGTTAACTCAAGGCCTCATTAATTTCCGTCACTCCTTGTGTGTGAGGGCGGTTGAACCTTGGAGTCAGTTCTGGTTTTTGTCTGCCTGCTTCTTCTTGTGTCCCCTGACCCCGGGAGTTATTATTCTACTTTATGGCCTGTCGAAGCCCCACTCGCTGTTGCTGGGCTGGTGTTGTTCCCGGCTTTTTGCTTACGTTTGCAGTTCGCCGTGCTCTTAATTTCCTTCCCTCGTCAACCTTATATCGACTATTCGCTCCTGTCTGGGTGCGATTCAATTTTGACTTAGGAAGGTTCTGATTGTCATATGCTTCGGGTCGAGTTGTATAGAAAGTATTGAAGTATGGAAATAACATTTCATATTGACTTAATAATGGTGATGGTTCAGTAGGCGTAACTTGTGGCCTGGTTTAATTGGAGTGGGTGTGAATATCAATAACTTTAGCCTACCCTGTTGTTAAATTCCGACTTTAACGTTACTTTAATAGCAATACAGAATAATTGAGCTTTTTGTCTTAATTAGGCGAATGCGAACTTCTGGTGACCCCCGCAGCCTTGTTACTCAGCTGGGTCTTGCCCGCCTTGAGAGATATACAACACTCTTTTAAATCACCTCTCCCCCTGTCCAACCTTCTGCTCTGGGAGTGTTATTCTTGATTCCAGGTCCAAGGCCCCCTCACATTCAGACGCGCAGGGTTGTTTACATCAGCTCCCCCCCCCTGTGCACGTGTTCTAACTAGCTCGGAATCCCTGAACACACAATCAGTGATGATTCCTGGCTTTCTGTGGTTGTGATTTAGACAAAGGCGCCTCTGTTTTCTTTCATTGCCTTTGAGTCGACACTGCCCTATTATTTGCCCATGTGCTGAGGTCATAGAATTCGTTTTGACTTCAGTAATATTAACATTCAGTATTGGATTAGCAAATGGGCAATGGTTCATTTATGTAGCTCGCAGCCTGGTCTCCAATTTGAGCGAGCGCGAGGATCGATAATTTAGCCTACTCTGTTGTTGAATTTCGAATTTTGACGTTACTTTAAAACCATGCAGGATAGTTGGGCTTTTTGCCTTAACTATGTCTGGCTGACACTCCCACTGTCTCTGCCGCCTGCACGGGTGACATGTGCCCGTTCATCAGGCCTTATCTTTCCTTGAAGCAAGGTTGCAAATTCTGCCATCCTAGCCCTCCTCCAGTTCATTACTTAACAACACCTGGTGTTTTGCAGTTTGCTGCGCTTTTGGTGTGTTTCATTCATTAAAAAAACAAGTAAAAAGATAATATATAAAAATCATCAAATATTATTAATCTCAATTTTGGAAGAAGGGTTAGGATACAACATTCTCATGTGGAAATTTATAGCAGCCAGATAATGTGAAAGCCTGTTGCTTCTAAATGTGGGAGGGAAAAACTGGAGGACCCAGAGAAAAAGTCCATGCCACCCACAGTGAGAGAGCCACACAAACTCCAAATATACAGTAGGCATCAGGGTCGGAATCGAACCCACGAACTCCTGCATACCAGGTGAGGCAGATAACATCTCGCCACCGTGAGAGCCACTCGCCGTCGTTGCCGCCTCCTTCACACGCTGAATTTGGAATCCAGAGGTCACCGGCGTGGCAATTGAAACAACGGCGCCAGTTCCATAAATCCACCGCACCACGCACCACCCACCACCTCTGTCCACCGAGTTGAAGGAATTACCTCTCTGGCCTCTCTATGTGTTGGGTAGAAGGGCCATGGCCTGAAACGTCCCCATTTATATATTTTTATTTGTTAGGCCACAAACTGCGTTATTGACGAACGTGGCGAGGTTTGTTTTGTCAGATGGGGGCGTCGCAGTTAGTCAATCGGCAGGTTTCCTATCATGGTGGGGTAAAATGTGGGTACTCCCACCTCTTCCAAGACATCTGGGCAGTTTGGAAGAGTAGACCAAGATACCCTCTAGAGTTCCCTCCAGTGGAAGTGTTTTTGCCAGCAGTGGTGTGAGCGGGCAATTGCAGAGCTGCGCCCTTAACTCTTGCCTTCAATGTTTCCAGGGTTAGCACAGTGGGATATCATCACCCAGTAAACGTACAACGTTGGGGTGTGGTTTGGGGCGTGGTAGTTGAAAGCAATGTCGGACCAACATTACCCCAACGTTGGCCAAACATTACCCCAATGTCGGCCCAACATTACCCCAATGTCGGCCCCACATTTCAGACGCGAGTGAGATCCAACCGAGAGAAAAGTGTCCTTAGCAAGGGATAGCTGTGCGTAACGAGACTCTGTATTTTCTGCACTCTCACGCACGCGTGCACACGCAGCACCGCATGCGGCCGGAGATCGCGAAGCTGCTGGTGCCGCACATTTACGATCGTCTGGAGAACCACCCGTCCGTCCTGGAGTACGAGAACGTGAAGGTGAGGGCCGTGTGCTGGGGGGAGAGATGCCCCGGGGCCCGCACTCGAATCCGGAATGTAGATGAAGAGTCGATGAACAACAACGCGAGCTGGAAGTCTCCATCGTTCTTACAGAGGGGGTCGTCGCGGAGGAAGGCGCCGTGGTTGCGCTTTGCGAGCTCCACCGAACGTCTTGCGCCTCGAATCCACCGATGCCGGACGTGTTGAGAAGTGGAGACGGATTATGAGACAAAAGTAGAGACGGATTATGAGATGAAAGTAGAGATGTATTATGGGGAGATAAATGCGTCCATGGCTCGGGAGAGGCGTGCGTAACAGGACCCTGTCGGGTTCATTTGAGCAGCACGTGTTGTTTGAACGAAAACTAAGAAGAGGTTTTTGCACTTTCTGCCAATAAAACAGGAGGCGTTCAGGTGTAAAAACACCAAATAGAAACCTTTTGCAAGGAATCAAGTATGCATTCACCACACGTACTTGTGACAAAACATGCAAAGAAACATTCTCTGATAATGTGTGATGCATTGTCTTCAAAACTGATTGGCCTATACCAGAGACAACAGCCTTCTTTATGGCCTAGTCTCACCACCAGTGTCAGACAAGAAGACACCAAAAGGCGAAGAGTACGGAGACATTGCCAGTGTCAGACAAGAAGACACCAAAAGGCGAAGAGTCGGAGACATTGCAGTGTCAGACAAGAAGACACCAAAAGGCGACGAGTCGGAGACATTGCCAGTGTCAGAGCATTTGTAGCTCGGGTCGAGCAGTTATATCGATGGGCCCCTTTTGCCAATATCATGTTTTATGATCTTATCTACTTATAATCTAATGGGATTCATATAGTATTTTTAATAAGGCGCTTTACAGCAATTATACAATTGTACACAGCTATGATAATAATTTGAAAGAAAAAATGGGGTTATTGTAAGTGGTGGTGTAGTTTTGATGCAGTAAAACAATAGGCATTGATAAGGAGGGGTTGGGATAGGTCCTATTCGAAGTTGGGGGACGACAGAAAGCTGGGGGGCTGAAAAGTAATCGGGCATCGTTGGGAAGACAGAGGGGGGCGACGAGGGGCTCCAGCCCCCCCCCCCCCCCCCCCCCCCCCCCCCCACTTTGCCTTTTCTCTTTCGACTCCACTGGCTTTCCGTTTACTACGAAACTATAAAACTTTTTTTTTTCCAGGTAAGGGCCTGCTGAGCTATACACAGGGGGTCCCCGATATACGTTGGGGTTAGGGACCAGAAAGTTGCAACTTATAACGAAACGACGAATCACGGGGAATTTCCCCCCATAGCAAAAGCAACCAAAATACGGACTGCACATGTACACTGCCTGCACTACACATAATGTACACACATTTATAACCAATTCTGAGTAAAAAAACACTTATTTGAAAACCATTTTTATGAGTGTTTCAAAGCAGCCCTGTACACTTTAAATCGTTTTATGACATTTTAAAGCAATAACTCGAACAGAAAACCATTCTTAGTGTAAAAAAAGGCAGACTCTTAAACAGCAGTTTAAAAAAAATTCCTTAACCTATCATTTTATACTCTTACCTTGAGGAGTGGATGAGTCGTGTTGAAGTGTTGCGATGATATTATGCGATAAAGTCTGTGCCGATTAAAACGAGAACTCGTAGCTACGCACGCGAGAGAACACGATGGGACTGAGAAGATGGCGGCGCATGCGCGAAATCCGAGTTGCACAGTACCTTTACATCCCCCACCCCTCAGAGCCGAGTTAAGCCGTATACACACACGGCCAGTTACCGCATACACACACGGCCAGTTACCACGTGTGTGTGGTCTTGCTCGGCTGCACTGCAGTCTAGAATGACGTCACGAAAACTTGGGACTGTGTCGTCGCTCAGCCTCGGTCGTCTCATAACGGTGGCACTTCGGTTTTCCGGTGGGTGGCTGTGGCCATCTCCATTCGTTTTGCGTCCATCGCTAACGTTGCTGACGCTGTTGAGAATAAGAATATTGTATTTATACTGGAGGAATCCGATCAGCTCTAAAGCTCTTTTTTCACAGATGTCCAGTAAGGGACATTGGGCCAGAATTGTATAACAAACAATGCAAAAACACGGCATGAGTGCAAAGTATAGGAAAGGTACACAAATCATTAAAATTTATGCAGAAAAGTAATCAAAATAATGTATTGGCAGGGCGTCGCCACGAACCTGTACTTCGTGCAGCACTCTCACGCGGAGGTGGAGGTGAAGGACACCAAGAGCCGGCAGAACCTGCACGAGGCGGACTTCGTGGTCGCGCTCTGCAAGCACCTTCTGCTGCAGGGCTATGCGCAGGAGCGCATCACCGTGCTCACCACCTACACGGGCCAGCTGCTGGCGCTGCGCAAGCGCTTGCCGCGCGATCGCTACGGCGGCGTGCGCGTGTGCGTCGTGGACAAGTACCAGGGCGAGGAGAACGACCTGGTGCTGTTGTCCCTCGTGCGCAGCAACGCCCTGGGCCAGACGGGCTTCCTAAACATCGACAACCGCGTGTGCGTGGCGCTGTCGCGCGCGCGCATCGGCTTCTTCATCGTGGGCGACGCAACGATGCTGTCGGCGGTGCCCCTCTGGAAAAGCGTGATCGGCGAGCTGCGCGCCGGCGGGCGCATCGGCCCCGCGCTCATGCTGCGCTGCCAAAACCACCCGGAGCGCGAGGCAGCGGTGGTGACCGCCAAGGACTTTGCACGGGCACCCGAGGGTGGATGCGAGCTGCTGTGCGAGTTCCGGCTGGACTGCGGGCACGTGTGCACACGCAGCTGCCACGCGGAGGACCCCGAGCACAAGAAGTTCGAGTGCCAGAAGCCGTGCAGCCGCACGATCTGCGAGCTCGGGCACCGGTGCCGCAAGGTTTGCCACGAACAGTGCGGGAAGTGCACGGAGCTCGTGGCCAAGACGATGGCGGCGTGCGGGCACGAGCAGATGATGCAGTGTCACGTAGACACAGCGCGCTTCTCCTGCCGGGTGCCGTGCCCAAAGCCGCAGGCGTGCGGCCACGCATGCCCCCGTCCCTGCGGCCAGGATTGCCCAGCCTCGTGCGCGGTGCTGGTGAAAGAGAGGCAGGCGTGCGGGCACGAGTGTGACGTGCCGTGCGGTCGCAGGCACGAGCCTAGGCCGTGCCAGGCACGCTGCCAGACGGCGCTGGCTTGTGGCCACGCGTGCCACGGGAACTGCCGGTGGTGCAAGAACGGGCGGTGGCATGCAGCGTGCGGGGAAGCGTGCGAGCGCTCGCTGCCCTGCTCGCACCAGTGCACCGCGCCATGCGCGGCGCGTGGCTGCCCCCCGTGCGCGCTGCGCTGCCGTAACCGCTGCGTGCACAGCGCGTGCGCGCGGCCGTGCGGCCAGCCGTGCATGCCGTGTGCCGAACCGTGCGAGTGGCGCTGCGAGCACCACATTTGCCGGCGACTGTGCTACGAGGAATGCGACCGCCCGCGCTGCGACAAGCCTTGCCGCCGCCGCCTGCCGTGCGGCCACGCGTGCGTGGGCTACTGCGGGGAGCCGTGCCCCTCCAAGTGCCGCATTTGCCACGCCGCCGAGGTCACTGAGATATTCTTCGGGAACGAGGACGAGCCGTCCGCGCGCTTCGTCGAGCTGGAGGACTGCGAGCACCTCGTCGAGGGCACGGGACTCGACCGGTGGATGGAGACCAGCGACGACGGCGGCGGCGGGGGCGCGGACGACGGCGGAGAGACGCCCGTTGTCGTGAAGCTCAAGGAGTGCCCCAAGTGCAAGACGCCGATCCGGCGGAACCTGCGCTACGGCAACATCATCAAGCGCACGCTCGGGGACATCGAGGCCGTGAAGCGCAAGCTGTGGGGCAGCGACGAGGAGATCGCGCAGGCGAAGAACCGCGTGCGGGAGATCCTTGCGAAGGTGAACCCCAAACCGCTGCCCGCGTCGCCGCTGCGCGCGATGCTCAACTTCCGCTACCTGCTCCTCAGGGACAGGACGACGGTGTCCGAGTGGAATATCCCGACGAATTTTCTGAGTGCGCTGCTGGCGGGAGAGCTAAACCTCCTGCAGGTGAACACTCTGGAGAACAAAGCCACGCTACTGGCGGACATCGCCAAGCTGAGGCCGGAGCTGTCGAAGATCAGTACAGAGAGGACGGAGGTAGTCAAGGATGCCCTCGACAAGCTGGTGGAGTGGATGTGCGAGCAGCAGATGGCCGGGCTGACGGAGCAGCAGCTGCAGGACCTGCAGACAGAGACGCTGCGTCTGAGCTTCCTCATCAAGGTGCAGGCGGGCATGAGCGTCGCCAGTAGTGTGGCCAAGGTGTCCGACGCAGCAATTGCGATCAGCGAAGAGATCATGAAAAGTGAGCGTGTTTCCAATTCAATTGTTATAATCGTCCTTTGTTGTTGTCATCGCCATCATCATCACCTTCTCTTACTGTCGTCAAAAAGAGCTAATCACATGTTTGGTTTTGCGAGTTAATTTGGCTACATTCCAGCTCTGCGAATGAAATGCAGAGCTGTACCGTGTGTTGTGGTGATGTCTGACGCTTTGCTCCGCGTGCCGGGAGCTTCTTCACTTCAGTTGCCGATGAAGTTCCCAGCAGGTCGGACCAATATATTTTGACTACATTTTTTATTTCATCAGGTAAGCCCGACTGAGCTCTATAGCTCTTTTTCCGAAGCGACCTGGCCATCATAAATTATACCTCAACGAAGTGGCTTATCGCGTCGAAATGTATAGCAGCCAAATAATCTACATGCACGCTGATTCTAAATGCAGAAGGAAATACCGGAGGACCCCGGAGATATGTCATACAGCACAACCGCAAACGCCTACGTGAGCGATCTAACCGGAGTGCCCGATCATTCCATCCCTCTGCTGTGCGCACGCCTAGCTCTCACGAACAAGCGGAGGTTCGGGCCCGAGCAGGAGAAGGAGGTGCGCCGGCTCGCCGAGAGCCTCCAGGAGAAGCTGCCCAAGAGCGGCCTCGGCATCTCGGACTCGGAGCGCGCGTCCATCGTGAAGGCCATCGGCCTGAAGCCAGGCCACTGGTACAAGTGCCCCCGCGGCCACGTGTACGCTATCGGTGAGTGTGGCGGCGCCATGGAGAAAGGAACGTGCCCCGAGTGCGGCGAGCAAATTGGCGGGGAGCACCACAGCCTGCAGGCCGGCAACGCGGTCGCCACGGAGATGGATGGCGCGCGGCACGCCGCCTGGTCGGACACCGCCAACAACATGTTCAACTACGACCAGCTGCCCGATTTTGTGTGACGCGTCACGGGACCAGGAACTGCGGTGTAGAGCCGGCGTACGGGAGGTGGGGGGGTCGGGTAAACTCGCCGATGCGTGTTCGTTGTGGTCGTACAGCGTAAAGGCCGTAATTAAAATATATTTTGGAGGGAACACATCCCCCCCAATATTCAAATATGCTAAAAATATCCCCCCCAATATATTGAAGCCGATTCTCGACTGCTGTGGGTAGGTACAATCAATGTCAAACACTGTACTGTCTCTCCATTTCATTCCTTTAAAATGTATTAAAAAGTGGAAAACTAGAATGTAATGAGTGTTACATAGGCTACATCACTATCGAGTGGAAACAAACGTTTTTAGTGAAAACGGGCCAATGTCCGATTGCCAATCAACCATCACTAACGTCAGCTATCATAGTTAAGTAAATTACTTGGAAAGTTGATTAGCCACACATTCACCCAACGACCAACAATGGCGCTCACGGGCGTATTCAACTAACGTGAATGTCTTTATTACGCTATATTTGTCAGAAAGCCCATGTGAAGTCGGAGTAAAGTGTCAATCATGTATGTTTCGCTGCATGTGTAATATACATTTGTAGACAGTAGCTTTCATTTATTGCATATTCGTATAGTATAGTGTATAGCTATACTTGCTTATGTGTTTCTTTGATTAAAGTGCAAGCAGTTTTATAACATTCAGCTTCCATTCACAGTGAGTGTCATCATGAGCAATTGGAAGGGTGGCAGTGACATTCGTCAGTTTTTGGGCTGCTTCAGAAAAGAAGAAAAGTAAGTTGAGAGAAGTGAGAAAATGAGTACCAGTCAGATTATAGTGGGTTTGACTGAAGCGCACACTCAACTTGGAGGCAACACTTTATTAACGCATAACAACCAACTGGAGCATTATACGCAGGGTGGTGATCACCGTTCCTAATCTCACTAACACTCGGGGAATACTACACAGCATGACCCGGGCAGGTAACGGGCTGCCGGCTCTAAAGAAAGTTATCTCTGGTGTGGACCAATCCGTGTCAAAGACAATGCATAAATTATCAGAGTATTGTTTTTTGTTTGCATTTGACTGCAAGTATTGTAGTTAATGTAAGCATGATTCCCTGCAAAAGGTGTCAGTTTTGTTGCCAGAAAAAAAGGGGAAAAATCCTATTAGTATATTTTGGTACTGGCAAAGGAGGTCCCATGATGTAAACCACTTTGTTGAGCTATTATTTGTTGCCAAGTTGCTTCTGAAAAAGAGCTACATAGCTCGGTGTGCTTTATTGAAGTGTTGCTTGCCTAGTGTTTAAAATGCACATTTTATGACGTTAAGAAAAAGGGCTTGTTGGCATGCGGGAGTGTGGTGTTGTTAATCTCACACTTTCTGTGCTGTGTTGAGGGAAATGGTATCATGGCTACAGAGGACTGGAATAGCAAAACAGCCAAAAAATGTGAAATAACTGAAAAGTACATGGCCAGCTGCTTCACAGGGTGCCTTAAAGACCCCTTGGTGGTGTTTTTGTTCGGAACAGAGCCAGGCCATGCGTAATGGGCACATTTTTACTAATTTAGCTGCACATTTACGTTATTTGGTGAAACCGCAGAGCAACATCACCCCCCGTACTGGCAAACTTTACCCATCCGTAAAACGTGGGCGCCTTCGTGGTGGCTATGCAAATGGCGCAGATGCCGATAACGAATGTACGCGCTGTTATATTGCATTATTTTGCAGTAACTCGACCAGCGATGGCACAGGGGTCGGTAACCAAAATAATAAGGGCCATTTTTTTCCCAATTTGGTAAAAAAAAAAAACTAAATATTTCACGAGCCGCACAGCAGTCCTTGAAGAACCGCATGCGGCTCCGGAGTTGCAGGTTGCCGACCCCTGAGCTCGCACTTGTTCAAAGCAAATTGACGTCAGTGCCTTCGGAGATGTTGCGCTTTTTGGGGTTGTATTATTTCATTGTTTGCAAAAAAAATTAACGCCGTAGGTTTTCGTAGCTGATTTTAATCCCAAATGCTTTTCCGGGTTGTTTTTTTCCGGACGGGTCTGCGTGTCGAGGAATTTCTTCTCTTAAAGCTTCCGCCATGCACTACTGTGCAAACTCAACACACAGACCAACCGGGAAATCCACAGTTCGCAAACTGGTTTAATAAAATTGCTAAATCTCACATTGAGCCTATTAGTGTCACTTAATATATGCATACTGTATGTGCACCGTATAACTATGCATGTATGTTGAACCTCTTTTCGTACCGTACGTAGCCAACTGTGCTGATCAGAGGTGCGGGGGAAGGACAATAAAATAAACACTAAAAGCAGTTCCAAAAAGTGTAGTTTTCCATCTAGATTTAAAAGTACATAGTTCCAATGACTTCCTAATGTCGGAAGGAAGACCATTCCAGACGGCGACAGAAGCGCATCTGAAAGTGCACGATGTCGTGATCTTTTTGTTCGATGGTGACCACACTCGAGTCTTTTGTTCAAAAGAAGTGCCACTCCAAGTTGTTTGGCAGTTTCCTGCCCCGAGTGGGGAACTGTCCACCCCTCATGATGACTAGAGCCAGAACCGGTCCACCGGGCCTCCTGTATTCCACAGTGAGCCAGGCGGTACCGGTCCATCTCCCAACAGAGGAGTGGCAGCCTCTCTTAAGCAACGAGAGTCGGAAGGGGTTCAGTCTGGCCCTGCCAGATGGAGTTTGACCAGAAGGTGTCTTAAATGCCTGTCCCCTGGGGTCTCCAGCACGAGATTATGTCGATGTTTCTACCGTGCTGCTTTGTAGAAGTGCCAGGTCGAGGGGTTACCAGCCCTTTGCGCACACACTAACCTAGCTATACACACAACCCCCCACACACACAGCTTGCAACACTTACACAAACAGCCTGTATCGCCAAGTATCAAGGCCTACACGCAACCTGTATCATACACACAGCCACTGTACGCCCTTTATTACGCCAAGCTATACAAACAGTACACCATGCTACTACACACTATACAGTAAGTCACACTTGGCTGTACCGCACAATACTGTACACAGTGCAATACATTAAAAACCTAATGCACACAGAAATATACAGACACGAACACGCATACGTACAGAAACATACAGACACGAGGATACAAATGGACGTGCAGGCGATACTGCACACTGATGCAGCTTCACAAACCGGTTCTCATAAAAGTCTAAAATAACAAAAAATATAAATCTGTTTTGTCAGTCTTTAATCGACCCTGTCGCTAAGTTTGAGTCTACTGAGGTAAATATTGATCGGTGGTTTGTTTTGGGTTCGAGGCAGGCAATTTTTTTTATCGATCGTCCTCAGGACTGGGTTGCCGCCAAAACGCAGGCCAAGCGGCAACAAGTCGCCACTGTGTCCAGGGCCTACGGAAAACTTAAAGGGCCTTCGAAAAAAATGTTGGCCGTGCTTTAAGGTGCTGTTTGGATGATTTTTTTTAAGCAAGATACTTTCTTGAATAAATATATATAGCAAGTGTAGTGGGTTCCACGGAGACTGGAGACGCCGTCTTAGATGCAACACGGTTTATTTATAAACTTTAATAACAAGACTCCCCTTAACTCCCACTATCTATGGCTAGCGTGGCCTCACACTGGGTTAACCGGGCCCTGAGCCCTCCGGCTATCTGTGCCCGAACTGACCCGACCCAGCCAAGGTACGGGTCTTGACCACTGGTCTGCGCTCGGCCCCGGCCCTTACAAGGACGTCGGGTCCCAGGGTCCGAGCTAGGCTGGTCTTTCTTCGTCTTCAGAACACTGCCCAGAGCTGTGCTTGAGGTGCCCCTTTTATCCACCTCCCGGGGACTCCCCGCCCCCGGTACCGCCCCCTCTCCGGAACCTTCCAGGGGACTCTGGAAGAACCCCCCAACCCCTCACCTGGGGTCTGGGTGGGGGGGAGAACCCGGCCCCTCAATGGTCTGGCTCTCCCTGACCTTCCCCAGCTCAGGGTGGCACCCCCTATGGGCGTGTGCCCGTAACTGCAGGTAAGTGTATATACGGACGGTATACGATGTGCATTTCCGACGCTATACAAGTGTAATGCGAGCGTAAACGGGCTCGTGAGATGTGACGTAACAGGTGGGAGGAGTTAGGGTTACGTGGGGAGAGGGAGAGCTTTTAAGGACAGGAACCGGAAGGGCTGGAGGAGAGTGTGGGAATAAAGACAGGAGGAGGCCACGCAGGGCAGGAGGAGGAAAGTGGCGTGATCGCCACAGGTCGGGACCGTTGGCCAGCGGTGTCCGGGTACGGAGGAGACGGAGAGCCAGCAGCGGAGCTGCATAGTGAGCAGCCGTGGGGCTGCAGGTCGGAGGCAGAGAGGCTGAGTAAGGAGCCAGCAGCGGGGCTGCATAGTGAGCAGCAACAAGTCTGCAGGAGCGACGGCAGCAGTGGGCCTGCCGAGCGGGAGACGGAGGAGACTCTGAGCGAGACGCCGTGCGGGCAAAGTTGTACGAACCAATAAAGGACAACGGAGACAGACCCAGTGCAAGAGTCCTTTATTACACTGGTGTCAGAAGTGAAACGGCATGTCAAAACAGCTCAGAAGAAACAATATCCCCGCACCATCGTCTGCTACATCTTCCGACGATGACGACCTTCCTCAGGCAGTGGCGCTGCCAACGATGGAGGGAGAAATCGACGCGGGAACGAGTGACGGCCCGGGGGTGCAAGAGATCGCCACTTCGGTGGATCCGCCTGCGCCGGGGGATGCTGACCAGCGATGGAGACAGATGGCGGCCCAGCTGGAGACTTTGAAGACCGTCTTGGCACAACTGTGCGACCTCGTCACGCCGGCGACGGGTTCGGGGAGGCCCGGGGGTGAACAACAGACCAGGGCCTTGCCTGCGCTGCCAGCGCCCTCAGCCATGCGGCACGAGGACGCCATCTTGGGCGTGGCGGGAGAAGAACCGCGGGAAGCCGCCATCTTGCGCCCTCCGTGGCGGGAAGCCGCCATCTTTGACACGTTGCGGTGCGACGCCATCTTGAACATGCCACGCGACGCGCCGTCTGCGGAGGACAGCGGAGCGAGGACCCGCAGCCGTCACTTGACAACAGTTAAAGAATTTTCAATTGGAGGCGACTGGAGTGCGTTCGCCTGCCGATTTTTGGCGGCGGTACTCTCCACCAGATGGACTGACGCAGAGGCCCTGGAAGTTCTGCCAACTCTTCTCGACGATGAGTCGGTCAGATTTTTCCGTTCCATCAAGGCCGAGAAGAAGAAGACACTGAGAGGGGTTTTTGACGAGATGGCGGATGCGTACGAGCCACCGGATGACGCTCACCGACGATTCGTTCAGCGCCAGCGGGCACCCGAAGAGTCGCCGGTGGCATACAGGGGTGCTGTCCTGGAATTGGCCATGGCCGCATACCCTGAGACGGAGCCTGACCTATTGGAACCCCTTATTTTGGGCAAAATGCTTGAGCTGTCGAGAGATTTGGGGATCCCTATGCCGGTGTGCGGCCATGAGAAGTTGACGTCACGGGCTGCTGCGAAGTGTTTGGATGCCCAGTTTAATCTGCGCCGTTGGAAGCAGGTGACAGCGTGGACGGGGGGGCCCATCGTGGAAGGGGGTGCCGTGGGTTGGGATCCCAAGAAGGCGGTGTACGTTCCTGACGGGGGGGGTGCCCGCAGGAATTGACGGCCGCCTCTGCACAGTGGCCTGCCCGCGGAGGGCCGGGGCCGCGATCTGCGCCGCCGACGCGGGAGCGTCGGGATGGGGGGAGTGCTGTGCGTCATAATGACGTCGAGTGTTTTCGCTGCGGTCGCAAAGGCCACTTCGCCAGGGATTGCTGGGCCCGTATCCCGGGGCCGCCTCAGCAGGAGGCCTCGACCACAGACGTGCCGCGGAAGGACCCTCCTGGACAGGCAAGTCAGTGCGCACCAGACACCCGGCAAGGCTTGGCACCTCATTCATCACCGTTGCCGCTCGATCCGGGTGTCATTAACAACGGGAGGCCGCCGGCTGGCCTATGTCGCTCGGTAACACAGTGGCGTAAATTGGCACGGCGGGTTGTTGCGGCCGCTACTGGTTCGTCCACTGTGCCGAGTTCTATACAAGGGGTCGACGTGCGCATTTTAGTGGACTCCGGTGCGTCCGCGACGATTATATCGGATGTCATTTTCCATCTGTTGGGCATCCCGCCGGATGCAGTGCGCCCGGTTTACGATTCCTGTGTAGCAGCGAACGGGGGAAATATGGGCATTGTGGGCCAGGTGGACGCCAATAAATATCAATCGGGGGGGGTGTCGGCCTCGGGAACTGTGTTGATTTCGAGGTCCCTTGCGGTTCCGTGTTTGTTGGGAACTGATTTTCTGGCCAAAATGCCCATTCTAATAAGAGTTAATCAAAATTGCATTGAATTACCGGGGGGTCGAAAAATTTCATTTTTGCCGTCGCCCTGAGGGCGACCCGCTCCGGTCTGCCAGGTGCAGGCGCTGTCCGAAGTATCTGTTGACATTCCACCTGGTTCACAGATGCTTATCCCCTTGCGATATCGGAAACCGGTGCCTGGTCGGGAAGGAGCGCCTAGGGTTTTGTTATCGCCGTCCGCAACCATAACGGGCGGATCGGTGCTGGTCGGGGTGCAAACTATTATCCGGCCGGACCAGCAGCCGTTTTTGCAAGTGCTCAATGGGAGTACGGAGAATGTTTGCATGCCGGCCGGAACGGTCGTGGCCCATGCCACAACAGCGTTCACGGCCCAGGACGATCTGGGCCGCCTTGATGTGGTTGGCGGAGTTTCGGGCCCTACGGGCCAAGATGAGCGCTGGGTCGCCGAATTGTGCGAGGAAAATACATCCCTGACCGGGGAATAGCGATCCGCGCTTCGCGCGCTATTGTTGAGTTATTCCGATGTGTTTAGCTCCGACTATTTGGACTTGGGACGCACCTCCCTGCTTTCCCATCATATTGGCACGGGGGACGCTGCTCCGATTCGCTTGAACTCGCATCGGATGAGCCCGGCGGAGCGAGACCATGTTCGTGGAGCAGTGGATGACATGCTGGCTGCGGACATAATATCTCCATCTAACAGCCCATGGGGCGCACCTGTAGTCTTGGTCAAAAAGTAAGACGGCAAATTGCGATTTTGCGTCGATTTTCGCAAATTAAACAAAGTGTCCGTGGCGGATGCGTACACCCTGCCGCGTATGGATGATTCCCTCGATGCCTTGTCGGGGGCGAAGTTCTTTTTGACGCTGGATCTCTCTTCGGGATTCTGGCAGCTTCCCCTCGATGAGTCCTCGCGGGAAAAGACTGCTTTCAGTACGCCGCAGGGCCTATTTCAATTTAATTGTCTTC